CATCTCTCCTGTCCCCCCCGATTTACTTGTTCCCTCCAAACATACCTGCAAATTCCCACTGAAGCCAAGGGGCTGATGTACCTGAGGACAGAAATTGGCCCTGAAGTACTTAAGTTCTCTTCTCCTTTCTAACTTATGGGCCGCCCTAACAGTTTAGAACAGGAGTTACCCTCCATAGATAAGACCTATAGTCTAGCTAATTCTAAGACTAAGGAGAGACTGGTTGATAAGCAAGGAGCTAACTGTAGCTCTGATAACGAACGTGAATCAATCCATCCCATTTTCTTTCTTTTGCAACCACACCGAGAAAAGGACACAACCAATTATGCAAATATGTTTAATGCACTTAGAATACACGTGAGAAAAAATGTTTAGTGATTCACAAAAATATTACAAAAGTCACGTGCAGGTGGACTGCACCGGCACTCCAATAACAAAGTAAGAATTTACATTAGGAACTAATATAAAATATTTAAAAACCTCTGCTAGTTTAGCTTTCCATTTGTAATTTTTTTTTTTTTGGTTTAAAAAAAAAAAAAAGTCCAACTACAAAGTACTGACAGACTGACTGCAGGAACACAGGCTCCTTGCAGATCGATTCTGCAGTGTCCTTAGAATTCTAATAAGAAAAATACACACACACGCACGCAAAAAAGAAACAGACGAACTACAAAAACGTTCACCTCAGCTGATGGCTGCAAAAGCCACCCCAGCAGTCCGGGTTCTGTCCGGTTTATGTAACCCACAAATAAATGCTCATTTTCTCCTAGGTTAACCAGCTCAACAGCCTTCCAACAGTTAGTGTCGTCAACAACAGAAACAAAAGCTCTATCCCTTTACAAAAATAGTTATAGGCAAGGAAAAGGACTTGGTAGCCAACCCGGGCCCTAGGGATATAAAAGAGTTTTGAAAAAGCAAGTCAATCCCTTCGTTGTGAATATGGCTAATCATTCCTTTAAACATCTCCTCCTCTGCTTCTGACTCCAGCTGACCCCAAGCCCACCGGGGCTTTATTGGAGGGTGGGAGCTGGATTTGAATGGATTTGGGCCAGTGAAGAATCCTGCATTTGGAACGGCAGGTTCCTGTGCACAGGAACCAGTCTGGTGCCAATGAGCTGTAAATTGCTGCTTCAAGGAAAGGCAAAAGGACAAAAATAAAAGGGCAAAATCCTCAGATTCTGTGATCAGTCCCTGCTTGAAGGACACAGTCGTTTAAACTCACTTCCCCTTTCTTCTGTCCCCAATGGGCTTGACATTCCGTAAGGCAGGTGGTAGCTTGAAATTCTGTATGTTGTTACAGAGGAAACTGGCAAAGGCATCTTGGGCCTAATCTGGATCCTACTGGATATCACGAGACTATTATACTGTGGAATATCCCCTGGATTCTAAACCACTCCACTGTCAAGAAACAACAGCCACAACTGTTTATGTAGGACCTACATCAAGGCAACGTGTTGCTCCCTCCACCGGCTCTGCAGCAGACGAGTATTTACAGAGCTGCGCTTACAACGCTGTAGTTGGGCCTTGGGGAAGGGAACAAAAACCATTTTGCTTTAACAGCCTCCCTAGCAGAGAAGTGCAGAGAAGGAAAAAAAAAATCAGTGTTTGCAAAATAGAACAATCAGCAACAAAGGAAATTTTACTCCCGCTTTTAAGAGGGTGTTGAAGAAAAAAAAAAGAGAAAAAATATTTTTAGGTCATTTAAAAAATAAAAAAGCATTTGACAGTGTCCTTTTAACATTTACCACACAGTGATTTCTGTATTTATGTAACACTGTTATCAGGGACCTAAAATTTCAACCGTGAATAATGAGGCACACAAGATTATTTAACACTTTTACCACCTCCCATTATCTCATGGAGGGAAGGAAATAGGCACCTTTATGGCAGACTTGAAATGACATTTCTAAGCTAATATGCCACTTTTTATGATTTTATGGTCTGTGAGCAATTTTAGGAGAAATAGACTGGTACTAGAAATGAATAAGTGGTGACGTGTATTACACGACAGGTTAATTGCCTGAGAGATACAGGTCAGTATGCGGGCTCAGTTTAAAACACACCGCCCGCCACAGGCTTATTCTCGGTTTGAAATTTTGGACGTGCACTGAACGAAAGCTTTACAAAAAAGGAAAGAACGAGCATATACCATTATGCTATGGAAGTGTCACAAAAATGATGAGCTGCTACAGATCTCGCTGGAAAATGCAATAGTATCGGAGACCTAAATTAGGCTTAAAATGTTAGGACGTGATGACTCGGAACAAAAACGTTCAATCCGGATAGATTCCTGTGGAAACATCTGCTCCCCATGCATCCCCCACTTCCCTTGCTTTTATTAAGCAGGGAGGAGATCTTTGCTGCTTAACAATTAATCTGCTCCTGTCGTTTAACTGAAACTAGAAATAAGGTGCATTTTATATACAAGTGCGGATGATTAGCTATTGGAAAAATCTACCAAGGGAACTAGTGGATTCTCCATCTAATGTCATCCGGCTAAAAGATGCTTCAGACACATTCAGGCTATTGGGCTCAGTGCATGGGTGACTGGGTGAAATCCTGTGGCCTGGGTTATACACGAAGGCAGACTACAGCAGGGGTGGCCAGTCTGGGACTCCGGAGCCACACGCGGCTCTTCAGAAGTTAATATGCGGCTCCTTGTACAGGCACCGACTCCGGGGCTGGAGCTACAGGTGCCAACTTTCCAATGTGCTGGGGGGAGCTCACTGCCCAACCCCTGGCTCTGCCACAGGCCCTGCCCCCTCTCCACCCCTTCCTGCCCCCTCCCCTGAGCCTGCCGTGCCCTCGCTCCTCCCCCTCCCCCCCAGCCTCCTGCATGCCACGGGAGGTGCAGGGAGGGAGGGAGAGGTGCTGATCGGTGGGGCTGCTGGTGGGTGGGAGGCGCTGGGAGCCGGGGGTGGGGAGCTGCTGACGTATTCCTGTGGCTCTTTGGCAATGTACATTGGTAAATTCTGGCTCCTTCTCAGGCTCAGGTTGGCCACCCCTGGGCTGGATGATCTAACAGTCCGTACTCATTTTAAAAGTCTATTCATCTATTTCCCGCCCCCTGAAGTTACAGTCCCCACCCCAGTTGGGAGAGCAACCCTTGCTAGCAGCTAGTTACAAGGCAACAAAACGGGGGTTATGACTTTGGATGTGAACATGTGAGGCAGGAATAAACAGCAGGTGCAATAAACAGCAGGTGCAAGACGAGCTGTTAAGCAACAAAGATCCCTTTTCCATACAGGCCTTTCGGAGTAATAAAAAGGCCAGAGAAACGCAAGAGAAGACATCGCTTCTGCCCACCACCGGAGAAGAACGTGAGCGGCGGCCATGTCTCTAAATGGAGTGTCTGAAAGAGTTTTCCTTGGGAGGCGCTGCTGACTAGCTTGATGTGGTAAACGCACAGTACCTGAGTAATGAGAACCAAGCTCATTGAATTAAAGAGCCTGCAGAGTCACACCAGGGGATCGAGAGAGAAGCCGCAGTAACTTCTGCAAACTGTTAATGATTAGAACAGACTAAGAAGCAGCCACGTCATAATTTCACCTTCCATTTGCTAACAAGACAGCCATTTGTGGACAATGTCAGAGAAAACAAATACGACTATTTGCTCTGTCTATTATAAATGAAACTCTTGTGGATTTAAAAAATTCTTAATTTGCTGTTTACGTCAAGTGGTTACGCCTGGCGTTGACAATCAACACAGCCCGAGGGCCAGTCTCCATGCGAGCAGACCCGTGTGCCTGGCTCATGTCAGTAGGACTGAGCATTGGAACAAGGATTTGCTCACATGGATCCCGTTGCAGAATTGGGTCCCAAGTCAGAGTCACTTTCGTTTTAGTTAATTTCACTGCCAGGTTTGCTTGCAATAGCGCAATCTGCAACACTTGGGTCACAGACACTGCAGGTCAATGTCTAACAAACTGTGCATCAATTCATTATGTTGTTTAAATTCCATCCTCTAAGTACTTCTACTGGTCTCAAGTTTTGTAAACAAATGTTTATTTCCTCAAAGACAACCTTGTGCCCTGGGACCATTCAAGAGCTACAGATTATTTAAAATGAAGGGCTTTAGCCTGCCGTCTCAAATCATTCCTGGCAAATCTGTGTCCAATCAAACCAACCTACCGCTGTCCTCAAAGCCATTACACATAGCAGATATTCTAGATCTAGGCCACAGAAAATATTACAACAGGTCACGCCAATTGCAACACTTAAGGTCTCTCTGGTTTGCTGAGAGCCTAGTTTCTTTAATACTGTAACTGTAATTTTTTTTTTTTAAACAAGTGTGTGAATGGAAGAGTGTTTACAGCTCTTGGGATTTCCCTTGTTTGAAGGTGGCTGTCCCCATGATAGACTTTCAAGGCATCACAGGTTTGCCATAAGGAAGTATTCCTATCTATCTGCATTGGAAGATTTCTCTCTTTTTTTGGGGGGGTAGGGAGAAGAGAAATCTCTACACACTTATTTTAAAATGCAATTTAAATCCAGATCGCCGCTTCCACCCAACACAAATTGCATGGCTTTGGTTTTTGTATAATCCCTGTTCAAATCTCTGCCAGCCTGAACAAATCTAAAAGCAGCGTGAGTGGAACTGCCATTCTCAACAACACTGGCCTGGAAAACCACCTTGGAATTAACATTTATGCATTTCCCTTTTCAAGCCAATTACTCATTTAAAAATATATATATTCAAAAGTTCTCTTTTTTCCATGTCACCCCTCCTCCCCCTGCCCAAGACAAAAACTAGAAAAGTATCAAAACTCAAGATCTCGTTTAGCTGCCAACTGAATAGTCTTTGGCACGACTGCAAACTTCAACTGCACACAGGGAAAAATGTTATGGGTGACGAGTTCTCTAAATATTGATTAATGTGCAACTTTCTTGTTCTAAAAGAACGGAGACAGGAGTGGGACAGAGTCAAAAGGTTTCCTTTCACCAGTGAGTCTCTTGCAGAGAGGCTGGCAATAGGACGTAGATTGCTATTGTAGCAGTGATTTGTTTTGTTTTGTTTTTATTTGCTAAACTAATTAGGAAGACCCGACTTCCTTCCCTTGAAACAAAATGTAATTTGGCAGCCAGCGAGGCTTTAAGAATAGGGTTTGTGAGAAAGTGTCTTACAAATCAAAGGTACCTATCTTGCCAACTGGTCATAACTCAAATACTGATGACTAGATATAAATACATGACATATAAACAAAAACACATGGGTATAGCTGGGATTTCCAAAGCACTCGGGTCATGTCTACACTACAAAATTATGTCAACTGAATTTATTACGGCAGACAGCCACCGGAGTTATTAAATCACTCGTGAGTGTGCATTTGTGTTGGCAGCACACATCCTCCCCAGGAGCGCCTGTATAGATTGTATTGTCCGTGTGGGGCATTGCAGGACGGCTCCTGAAAGCCAATAACAGTAGACATAAGCGACACAGTGTCTACACTGACATTGGGTCAACCTAATGACATTGACTGTGACTCTACCCTGCTTGGGAAGGTGATGTTAGTAAATCGGTGTAGACAGCCACTTACATCGTCAGGAGCCAAACTGGAGCGAAGACACTTCCACAGCTAGGTCGACACAAGGCAGCTTACATCGACCTACCTGTGTAGCGTAGGCCAAGCCTCAGTGTGATCCCTTCACATCCCCCTCTGAAACCAACCAACATCCAACCCACAGCGATAAACAGGAGTGAATGCAGAACGGAAGAACAATCATGGGAGAGGCAGATTTGGAGAAAAATCCTGCAGAGAGAAAGTATTTTACCTACAGTCCGGCACTCGCTCATGTGTCTCGTGGGAAGGTTTCAAAGCGTCTCAACTCGAGTTAGGGCAGAGAGACAGAACTCAGATGGCCTCCTGGTCTCTGCCCCTTTGTGACTTCTGTGGGAACAGCAGCAATTGCTGACATGGACAAATCACTCTAGGAAAGTCCTGTGCTTTCAGCTTCTCTTAATGAGACTTCGCAGCTGGAAAGAAGGAAGAGGAGCCGGCCCTGTGGCAATCAGCCAGTTCTCCAAACACCACTGGCAAGTGTTTGGTTCATGGGCCGCTCTTTGAAATCTGTGGATTTAGGGCAAAGTCTTCATTGTCCGCTTTCCTCCTTTTCTGATTGGCATGATGCCACTATTTCTTCACAGTGAGGTGAGGAGGGGAGTCTATTTTGTGCCTGGGTTGGTAGATTTGCATGCCAATTTTCAGTCTCTCTCTAGTCCACTGGCCCCTGGAAATGCATCTACAACTCCCACCAACATTAAGGAACAGAACAGACCGGCACTGCATACACATTTCATACTAAATGGGACGCTGCAAGTCAGCCAAAGATTCTCCTGGATAAATGCAGACTGCCACAACACAAAAATCACTCTGGCTGGCCCGGAGATTGGAAACTCTGCTCTTAAAAAATATCATTTCAAGATGATCCTCTGAGTTCAGACAAAATGACAGACTAATTTACATCGAAATTGCTTTCATAGCTTTGTAAAAAGGAAGCTGTTAAGCAACGTAGGATCTGGATTTGGCTTTCCTTAAATAATAATAAAAATAATGGTACTTGTACCTCCCTCTGAGAATCTTGGTCCACTTCACAGATGCTAATGGTCTAGGCATCCCAACCCACCCCCCAGGAATATTATCCTCATTTGCAGAGGAGGAAGTGAAGTGATTTGCCTACACTCACACAGGAAATCCAGAGTCAGACCTCTCGGCTCCTAGATACATGCCTCAACCACAGGACTATACATCCTACAGCAACCAGCTCCAAAATAGATTTTAAAAATCTTGACAAAATCCCACTTTGTTGGGAAGAAATTAAGACAACAACAACAACAACCAGCTTCTGTGAGGTATGGGCCAGTTTTAGCCATTGCGGTTTGATCAAAGGCAGTCAGTTGTTAAAAGTTGTTGCCACAGCCATGTTAAGACCACTGTATTGTGTACAACCAGAGACGAAGAAACGGCCATGTTAGCTTGTGAGTGGGAAAGGGTGGGGGGAGAAATCTGCCCCCACATAATTAGAAGTGACTGTATTCCAGTGTGAATCTGTCTGAGAAAGCACTGGTGAATCTACTTTAGAGAACAATCCAGGATTGGCAGGGGAAGGACTCAAGCATGGGGTAGCCTGCAGCCCATCTGCAATGCACCCACCAACGGCCTGCTCTTCGGTACCAGGATGCAACCTGCAGAGACAAAAGCTCTCAGCACACGTGCTCCATCTTGGTCTAAGGGAGGCCACTGGGACCAAGAGGAAGTGTCATGTTGGAAGCAGAACCTGAAGCTCATACTACAATATAACTTGGGGGCCCCGGTTACAGCCTGCTCATCCCCCAATCGTTAAAGCAAGGTTCAAATCCTTAGCACATGGCTACGGTCCCATGTGCACACAGGTTGTCGAACACAGAGTCTGGTAAGATGGAACTGTGCTAAGGACAACTGTGCTGTAAGCGGGTCCCCAGCAGGGTTTGTTTTGTAGTGCAGGTAGGGCTTTCTGGTGGCTCTCTCTGTTGATGGGGAGGGTGGATCCGATCTCCACATTAAACAATTTAGAGCAGCCCTCTGGTTCCTGGAGCGTGGCCCCTCGGAACATACAGATCCTTTCCCACTTCTAGGATTCAAAGGGATTCTGTACAATAGCAAGGAAAAAATACTTGACAGCATCCCTTGAAAGATAAACATTCTGTAAACAGGAGATCTCCTCCTCTGCCCCGGTAGTCTCTCTTCCTCCTGCTTGTGCAAAAGCAGAGGTCACAACCTTCTCCGGGGCTCATGCATACATTCATACGCTAGGACAGGATGTGCAAGAAGAAAGTTGCCTCTGTTTGCAGCGATACCAGAGCTAATCAGACCGAGCTCAACACTCAGACCTTTCCGAATTCTAGCAGCAGGGAGGGTTTGGGTTTGTTTTTTGACTAAACTTGAGAGTTCATCTTTAAATGAAGCGTGCGAGCTTCTGGCCTCGTTAACACCATTCCGTTTCTGAAAAGACAAAACAGCCCCTGGAGGAATAGTTCTGCAGTCGGTAAAAGTTTGGCTAACCAAAAGGATTCCAAAGTCATGTAGAGAACATTTAATCCATGGGCTTGCACCTGGCAGAGTGCGTATGTAAATATAGGCGTACAAGGTATCTACACCCTGGGCGAAGACTGCAGGGATATTTGTAGCCAGCTAGAACAGGGAAAAAATTCTTACCACTACTTTTCATAGTTAAATATTTCTCACTTGCACTCAAACATACGCAGGCTGTTCCCGGAGAGTTCAGCCCAGGAAAGGATGGGGAAGAAATGGCCCAGCACTGTCCAGTTCTGTCTGGGTTGGTGTTGTGTAACTCCTCTTCTGTTTGCAGTGGTTGTGCAGCAATCTACTTTATTTGAAGGCATAGTTCTTACTGCATTAATTATCCTGTGAGTCACTGAGCAATGTACAGTCACTTGGCTCTCCCAGATGTCAGAAGGGTGTAATTCAGCTCTAATGCAGAGGGTTGTCAAACACAGCATCTGGTAAGATGGAGACTTTCAGTTTCTTTTCAGGCCAGCTGTACTCTTTTGGAAGTTTAAACTACGAGGCAATAAAGGGAGTCAGTTAATGCATTTCCCTGCAGCCTAACCCGCATTAACCCAAAGCTATTCTGAAAGTAGGCAGCCCTCCATTTAAGAGCTAAGCTTTTTTATTTTTATTTTAAAGCGAAGGGCCACTAAGAAAGCGTTTCCCCCTCCCCCATCAGTATGTTTTGGACAGCAGTGGACATTAGATAATGCGGTTTGTGTCTCTGCTGCCAAAGTAAAGTTACGAGGTTCCAGCCCAAGCGTTGTTCGTTTCATTCGGTGAATTCTGCCAGGGTTACTGTTCCCACCACCATTTTCCCTCCCCTTCCGCATCTCAGTGAAAGTCTGCAATTTGCAAGAGTATCTCCCTTTCCACTTCACTGTGTTTCCTCCAACTGTCCCCAGGCCCCACAAGCCCCCTTTGTTTGCCTTAAAGCAAGAATCAGACAGCGGCTTTAAGATTCTCTGTGTCATGTGATATACGTGAGGCTGTATGGTTCTGTATGTAGCAGGCAGAACTGGCACAATGATTCACATGGCTAGCAGCTAGTCATGCTGTTCTGGTGGAGGACAGCCAGTGTTTCTGAATACCGTCCTTGGGCCACTTTATTTATGGCAAACCCCCCCCCCCCGGAACAAACCCCTTGACTTTGCAGTGACTGTTCCCTGGCTCATGTCCACACACACAGCTGCCCTAACTATTAAGAAAGTGTTGGTTGCGATACCCAGCGTAGGAACTTGAGCTCAAGTCTGATTTTACACACCATTGCTTCCAGTGGCTACTTCTTCATGTGGAGGGGACGCCACGAATATTACAGCTGGTTCATCCAGTCCTAGCTCCACCCCAACACACAGACCCTCCTGTTGGAAAGTAACCCCAAAACTCCTGCTCTCAGAACCAGCGCTGGGCACTCCTGGACAGCTGTCTGAGGCGTCCTTAGAATGTACTGGGCTGACTGTGACTTTACCATGCCCGTGCCAGAATAGCTCTGTCAAAAACAGTTTTGCTGTGGGAAATATTGAACTGTTGCAAGGAGAAACAAGACGACGGGCCTGCTCAGAGAGTCAGTGTCCCTGCCTCAGTTCGTCTGAGCAGGAAGCAAATGGAAGGGTGTCTGCACTAAGGGTAAGCTGGGGGGCAGCGGGGTTTAGGGCTATCATGGAGTTACAGGATAAGCGTCTCAGAGGAGGAAAAAGACCCCAACTCAGTTTCATTTTTGCTCCCCACTGCTGGTTTTGCAGAGGAAAGTCAGAGTGGAAAAAGGATATCAAGAACAGAAAGTGGGGGGGGGGGTAGAGGGGGGAGGACGCAGGGCTGATTAACACTGCAAATGCCTAGATGTGTACAATGGCAGCCTATTTATTTAAAGCTGCCTCTCGTGTTTTAGGGCTTGTCCGGACTACACATTTGCCCCATTCATAAACACGCAAGGAACTGATCTTGAAAGTTGTTCCAGGGAATAGGATTGTCCCAGTCACCCCCAGCCTGTGCAGACAAAGCACGGGAACTTCTGGAAAATGAACTGCTTTGTTTTTAAAACGTTGCTGCACGCACAGACTAGCACCAGCTGACGGAAGGATTTGAACAGCAGCATCTACCCGGGGTTCTGCCTTGACTAGGGAGGATCGTCTAAACCAGAGACGTTCAATTCAGGACTAGTGCAATGAGTTCCTTTCCCATGAAAGTTCTTGGGCCAAATTCAGTGATGACACATGTGCCCATGTAAACTATGGCTACGTCTACACTGCAGCCAGGCGTGAGAGTAGCGGCTCCCACAGACTTACCCACAGTAGCTGTACTCCAGCTAGCCCGCTAAAACTAGACGCAAGGACGCCGTGGAGTGGGCTTCAGCATCAGCTGCACAAGCAATTGCTTGTCTATGAAAACACGAGCTGCCATTCCCCCCACCCCACCACAGCGGAGACTTGCCTATGTCTGGTACAAGTGTGTTGGAGAGTGGGCATAAGCAGTAAAGGAACCCTAAATTGCCCTTCCACCATTCCAGTAATTGTATTTTTGGGGCATCTGCCCCCTCAGTTCCTACGTGGACACTCAATTTTACTCCTCTAGTGAATAAAAACTGGTGCAAGTTACACTACTTTGCCAACCGTTTTATAAACCTCCGTATAACCTGCACCCATATTTTCGGTCACTATCTGATTTAGCCTATGGGCCCCCCTTCCATCTCTAAGGTCTCATGCACTTAACAAACAATCATTCTAACGTTAATGAAGAGACACAAAGACACAGCATGAGTTTTTGAGGTGCTCAGCCAGACGAGTGTGGTGTTGCAGTTGGTATTCATTTCACCTTCACCTGGCTCATTACACCATGAAGGAGGGGTTCTTTTCCTAGAACCCAAAATTGGATTTTCATTACCTAGCTGGATACCGGCAACAGCCGAAGGAAGTCTCTGGGGAACGTATGAAGTTGACCCAAAACTCTTTACAAACTAGGATCCTGTGACTTACGAAGTCCTGCAGGATTCTGGGTGATGAAAGACCATAACCATCTACAGTATCCCCTGCCCCTTTTCTTTTAAACTGGGAAGGTTCCAAAATGGTCACGTCAGAGAAGAATACGTCAGAGAACATTTTAAAATGAGTAATGTCAAAGCAGCGTGGAAGCCAGTGTCTCATCCTTTGTCTGGCACTACGTACTTCCCAATAAAGCTAGGGAACACTAGCCCTGGGAAAAGGGACTCAAAATGGTCACTTCTGTGCTAGCACAAATGATCTTTGGCTTAGGTTTAAATGGTTAAGAGCTGGCCTGAGAATTCACTACACTGCTAGCGAGGTGCTTGATCGCCTGCTGCGCTCCTTCACAGGGCATATATGACCCTGGCATTATGTCAGCTCAGGGTTCAACAATCAGAGCACTGAGGTTTTTCTGGGAGGCGAAGCAGGGAGGGACGGAGGGACAGAGGGACAGGAGGGCTACTTTACAAGCCTAGGAAAGTTTCTTTAGAGTCCGCAGGGAGCTGTAAAAAATGGGATAAAAATATTACATGTCACGGCTGCTACTGCTCTCTGAAGCGAGGCAGGATATTTCTGTGGAGTGCAGGGGAGAGCTGGTGTTAAATGCGACTGGGTCACACGATGGGGAAAGTCCATTGCCGTGGTGCGTCCCCTGCTGCTGGGCTCAGCGCTGCCAGGCTGGCTGCGTGTATCTGTGCACCACACTCGAACTTAACAGAGTTTGGGAGGGAAGGGAACTAACAAGGGACAAGCAGCAGGTATGAAATAGCCCCTCCCTCCCCACCCACCCAAAAGCGGCTCTGAAGTGCAATATGAAGTGGCAGCAAATATGCTGGGTGTTCCGCATTGCTCTGCAGGCCAAAGGGGCCCTTCAGCCATGCTGCTGCAGGGGGCACAGGCTGCAGCCCAGTGCAGCGGCCAGGGCTGCCGCACAGCTCCGCTCCGCTGGGGCTTTGGCCGGGGGATGGCAGCATTCCAATTGCTGTCGGGACCCCCGCCAGTGGAGGCTACCTGGGGAAGCGTGCCGAATCAGTGCATTCCGCAGCAGCAGTGGCCATGGCCTCCTCGCTAGCCAACACCCCCCACTCTTGGGGCGGTGTTGGATTAGCTGCAGGTCCCCGATTGCCTCTGCAGTCCCTTCTCTTCCAGGTGGCCTGGTTTATGCCAGCAGGCTCAAAGGGTGGCTGAGCCCTGAAGCTGTGGGAAGGGCTGGAAGCTGTCAAACTCCAACACTAACAAAACAAGCCAACTGTGCAGCTTTTCTCTAGGCCAGTAGATGCCAGATATGGGAGCAACGCAGCCTTACTTCCTCTGGAGAAGTCAGATCTTCTAAGTCTTCCAGCATTCTTTCTACGAACTCTTCAGTCAACAGGATCTGCAAGGGGGAGACACTAGTTTACTCTTTTACACTCCAAGCTTTATATAATTGCCAAGCAGCAGACCCCTTTCTTCTGCACAGAGGGGAGACTGTACATACTTTTCTTTGGCGACACAAAGGTTTGAGGCCTCTAGCTCCTGGCTTTACTCCCCCCCACAACCCCAACCACTGCAAAAAATGCTAAGATTACAAGGCAATCTTTTGCTACCATCAATTATCTTCCTACCTCTAAAATTAGAGGCTCAGCTTCAGAGAGGAAGGGGGGAGGGAGGCAGGGGAGGGCAAAAAGGGGTCAAGCAAACAATTGCAAAGGAAGGCAGTGGGAAACAGACACTTTCATCTGGCACAGTGGAGTTAAGTCTCTAGTATAATTGGGCTACAGCTCGTGGAGGGGGACAGGGCGGGACAGCCTGGAACCTGCACAGAGTCTGCATTTTGGGCACCTTGAGGGCTCTGATCTGGAGACCTGGCTTGGTAAATGGTGTATCATTTAGAAAAACCACAGATTCAGCAGGGGAGGCATTCAGAGAGGTGCCCAAGCCAGGAGCAGGAGGGTGTGGGATATACAGCATGGCTCTCGGACTCGGCTCAGAAAACCAGTCCTTGGTCCTTCCCAAATGTGCAACTCCCCCCGCTCCCAATCAGAATTGCTCCTCCCTCCCGCCAGCCTTGCTAGTCCGCATGAGAATGTAGGGGTGTGGTAGAAGGGGGAAGGCTCCGGCTTTTTCCAGGAGAGGACTAGCAAACGTGAAGTTCCTTGGACAATAACTTCTGACTCCATGCCCCCCAAAAAGAGAGGGCCAGATCCCCAGTCAACATACTCCACTGAAGTCACATATGCCCACTGACATCAGCTGGTCCTGAATATTAAGTGGGGAACCAGCATCTTCCCTCGCCCTTTTCTTTAAAAGAAACATGCCGTAGCAGAAGGTGCCCGCGCACACAGCTTTTAGAGGGCCAGAGATAAACGCAAGCCCTGCTGAGGTGGGGTAGCAGTCAAGGACAAGGAAATCACCTCCACACATGGGTCCGGTGAGGGGTGCTGGGTGTGGTGTTGCAGGGTTTGGGTATACAGCAGGCTATTCATTTTGCAAATTGCAGCTCACAGCTCTGTTCTTTCTCTGCTTCTCCTGGTGTTCCTTTTTCCTCCCTTCACTCTACCCTTTCCTTTTACAGTCTGTCTCCAGCACCTCTCCATCCTATAGTGACCGGCATTCCCGCTTCTCTGCTCTGCCTGCATTGCATTCTCCCTCCTCCCCTGCTCACTCCTTACTCATCCTCTCCAAATCCACTCACGGTTCCCCCACTTCCTCCCCTCCGGCCCCTCAGCTCTGCATTCCCTCTCCAAGAGCTCAGGCAACTCTCCCCAGCTCCCAGTGCTGAAAGGGAGCAAGGCCAACCCCCAGTTCCACCCCTTTTCGGCTCCCCTCCAGTTCCAAACTGGAGCTCATCTCAGTGCTGCTTGTTGACAGCCTCCCTTGCAGCACGGAGCTCGCTGGGGGAAGCGCATAGCAGCGCTGATGCTGCAGATTCCCTCGTAAGTTCTGATCTATATACTAGGAACCCATGGCTCACAGTCTGAGAACCCCTGAATCGGCTAGATGGACAGAAAAGGCACTGGCCACTCAAGCTACTATCATACATGGCAGTGGCACTGTACAAAAAGGAAGACCCTGTCTCTGCCCCGATGAGCTTTCAGTCTAACTTAGAGTTTAGATTCAGTACCCAGTTTGTGGTGTGGCATGGAGCCACTCCTGAAGCCCAGCGGAAGCTGTGGCAATGTAATCAGCGGTATCACATCACAGACTCACATGCTTCATGAGGCTTTTTGGCTACAATCAGATGATTCCATGTCTATTATTGTCTATGTTGGGCCTTAGACGATCATCTCTTTGGCTGGCACACTAAACCCAAACATCTATGAGCACTATAGCAGGGCTGGTTTAGACTACAGTGGGCAAGTTCTTTGGCGGAGATGGTAGCCCTGGCACACGTTGAATAGGAAATACCTGTGTGTCAATGAAAGGTTTGAAGAACCTAAAGGGTTGCTTACTCAGAAATACAACCAAAGCCATCCATGCTCAGAAACAGAACAGTCACCTGCATGGTTAACCCAGAAGATGGTGCAGCTGGCAAGGGTTGTCTGGGGAGGGCTCTGTATGTAGCAGATCAGCTTCTGTTCAGGTGTAGCCTGGCCGTGAGTGACAGGGCAGTGGGTGGAGAGTGGAAGACAGAGGATACGGCAGACGTAGCAAACTACACAGCAGTAGATAAGAGGAAGAAACCAGCACCCAAAGCAATCAGATGAGTGGGCAAGGAGGAAATACATATTCAACAGTGACACAGATGAGCAAAAATGAGAAAAAAAAAGGGGAGTGGGGGGTGGCTATAGGGCAGTGGAGATGGCAAGAAAGATAAAAATCAGATGTAGCAGTAGGAATAAAATCCAGGGTTAATAGGGAAGGAGCCCAAGGGACATTTCTAGGGTGTCAGAGGAGAGAAAGGAAGGAGAAATATATGCACAAATGAACCAATCTCATTGTAGGCCAGAGAAGAACAAGGTGGGGAATGAAAAAATTCAATGGGGGTGAGCAGGGAAGGATATTTACAGAATAAAGGGCAGAAGGTGCAGCCCCTAGGGTAAACCACCACGGTTTGGATCCTGGAACAAACGTATGTGGAGTATCTAGATTAGCATTTGCAATTGTGTTCGTTAACGTCAGTTAGCCAGCAAACAACTAACTCCAGTTGAAACAAGCGCATAAAGCGTCTAACCAGCACAGTTCTGGTCCTGGGTGAACAGCGCCTCCTTTCCTGTGAAAGAAGCTTTGGAAGCCCGGAGCAGCCAAATGGATAGTGTGCCCTTGTGTCTCAGGAATGCTTGTAAGCCAGCTTTTAAAAAATGGTTTGCTACACCAGGTAGCTGGGGAAAATCTTCACCATCATACACTCTGGAGGGTGCTGGGGATAGGTACCCGTTACCGTAGCATTTGGGCACATCTAACTGCTGAAAAGATTTAGAGGCTAAAGATACAACTACACTGGATACAGGCTGAAACCAGGTTCCTCCCAACAGAATTAGCCCAACCAAAATGTAATAAAGGCATCAAAGCAGGAAGGCACAGACCACGCGGATCCAATCCTTGTGATCAGCAAGTAGATCTTCGTACAGAAGAGAGCTCTCTTTATTCTGATACTTACAAAGAGCCTGAAAATAAATTAAAATCAGTACCAACTGCCCTCTCACACACAATACTTCCTAGGTTTTTAGTCCTCTTAGCATGCCCGTGCCTGCAGATTACCGCATTAACACACACACATTAGATGTGCATGGTATTAAAGGTGACATTCCAGCAAATAAACAGGACAGACCGTCGTAGCTCTAGGCATCTAATTTAATTTCCTTTGGGATGTAAACCTTAGAAGCTCACACTGAACAAATAGGCCCTGTTCTTTGTGTATTTCAGACCTGAACCCAGAGTTTTCCTTTGAGAACGTTAGCAGATCTTATCAACAGGATACTGCAGGGAGATCATAAATGATGGAGCAGCTTATTCGCTCTCCAAAGAATAACACAGACTCTCTGTTGTGATGCAGCTATGGGAAAGTCTGTGCAATCTGGAGGCCAAATTAAATGGTTTTCTGCATATTCAAAGCTGGACGTGCCTCTCCTCAGAGCAGACCTTTCCTACGGTGAAATCTTTGGGCCATGACTGGGGAAGAAAACAAGCTCTGGGGGACCTGTTCGTGTTCACTCTGATGTCAAAGAAGCCCCATAGATTCATAACCTAGGATTTTCATAGTTCAGCAACTGTGTGCAAACATTCCACCCTATGGACCTGCTGCAACCAGTTTCACACACTGGAGTGTAGTTCTGCCTTCGTAATGGCTGTTTGCAATAGTCACAAGCAAGAGCTAAAGAGTCCAGCCGGGGTTTGCAAAACATTTCCTTCAACACCGCACAACCAAGGACATGCCAGGTGCTTTCTGGGTCAGATTCCCGCCCACAACTTGCAGCTATGAGGATCAGGCTCCATTTTATACACGTGCTGCGGCTCTGCAAATCCCTTGCTACATGGTTACACATAGTGCTTGCAAAACCATAGAAGAGAAAATCCACAATTTTATCACTAAACTAGGAATGTCAAAAGTGCAACTGCAGGTCCAAAGTTTGGCAACCCCTGTTGAAACTTGTGTGTGCCCAGCCATGTTAAAAATGCTATATTATGTAAGGATTAACATTGCTATGGTTATGTACTGCACTGGCTTTGTGTGTGATGTCTCCCTCTAGAGCAGTGATTCTCAAACTTTTTTTTCCCACGGACCACTTGAAAATTGCTGAGGGTCTCAGCGAACCACTTAATGAACTTTCCAAATGTTGTCTGTACCGTTCGCTAACTATTGTAAAGTGATGGATGTGCCCTCTCTCCCCTGTCGTGGCAGCCCCCGAGCTGGGGCGGGGAAGGAGGGGGGTCTCACCCCCCTCCCCCCCAGCAGCCACAGAGCTGAGGCTGGAAGGGAGGGCCGTCTCCCCAGCTCCAGGGCTGTGGCTGCCGTGGAGAAAGTTGCTTTTCTCTGGCCGCCGCAGCCCTGCACATCCCAAATTCCCCCCGCCCCCTCTTCTCATGCCACTGCCTTCTCCCACCTACCCCCAATTCCCCCAAGGCCACCACTTCACCTTACATGTGCGTCTTCTCCAGGGTCCAGGCACCGAATTAGTGGAGCCATGCCTGCGCAGTTCCACTAATTAGGTGAGTGGCCCTTCATTCTCTTGAGTGCGGCCATCCAGGCACGCACCTTAGAGGGAACTATCCGTGGACCACCTGAATGGAGCTTGCGGACCACTGGCAGTCCACAGACCAGTCTGAGAACCTATGCTCTAGAGGTTAGCCTCAGCAACTATAACAGTCTGCTACTTACTAAATTAATGGAATTACTCTCATAGCTCAGGTGGGAGGAGGTTTGTACTTTCTATAGTGAATGCCCAAGGTTTGATT